ACCTGTTAAATTTCACAAAATGAATCAGTCTGAAGAGATTTAAAATGGACCTGTGACTACAGTTAACACATTATAGAGCTTATCGAGACGAAGATTTAGTAGGACGTCGTAGGTTAAGATGTACTTACTCTGCTGATATTTACATTGAACTGGAGTGTGTGGAATTGGCACTTTCTCCACCTTCTCGTCTCCTAGGGGACAGAACCTGGGGATAATTGTTTCCGTGGGTGACGAATCTGAGGATTTCGGGTGTGATTCCCATAACATTTCACTTTCCCTCTGCATCTGTGGAATGTCTGTCTGGTTCCTAACGCGCTAAATGTCAACTCCAATGCGCACCAGGTCGCGGGGGTGGTCGCAAAAGCGCGACTTATCAACTATTGGATACTGGGCGCGCTCCGGTCGGAAGCCCCTGCCACCTGATTGGGCAAAACCGAAAGGGGCGTGTGGCCTGGACATCCGAGTTTTCAAACGGCAACTACCCGAGAAAACAGTCAGAGCAGACCAATAAGCCAACGGCTGTTTTGGAAAGTGCCTGGACGGCGGGGACCTTCTCTCATTCAGATTTTATTTTCCCCGACTCCCGCTTACGAAGACCTTGAGTGCAAAATGCAAGGGCGGTTGATTTTATAACCGCGGCCAACTTGGCGTATAAATGTCTGGAAAAATGATAGCACGTTTCGGATGATAGAGTAAGCGAAATAAAGGGTCGAACAGTCGACCACCAGTGCTGCATCGGATGCTCTACTACTGAAGTCTGGAAGACGAGGTTATAAAGTCTGCGAATAGTAAACATCTTGACTCACAAGGAGAGCCCATTATAATCCAGGTAGCATTGAGGCTGAAAATGCAGGACCGACCTCCTTTATGCACAAGGTAGTTACTTACTGTAAACTGCCTTGCGCTCAAGGCCAACATTAGCGTTGAGTAAGTTCGGAGTTGAATGACACCGCACCAATGGGACCAACGAGTAGCACCAGACAGGTATGCGAATCCGCCATTGCGTATAATCTGCTAGTTGAAAAGGTCAACATTAAAAGACGTAACTGGTGAGGCTGCATGACCGAAATCCAGATGACCAGTGTGCGGTAACTTGGACGTCGCGCATCTTCCTTATCTACTGAACGCACTCTGAAAAAGCCTTTTTTCATGTGAAATTAGTTTTTAAGCCAACTTTTCAGCGAAAAGATTTACAAATTTGTGTGCATTTGTACTTTTCTAGCGGCGGCAATAATCCAAATGAGAGAGATTTGCTAAAACAAATCGTCCCCAAGTGAGGTCAAGTTTTTCAGTCAGCGTAAACCAGGTGAGGAACAGCGCGAATATGCAGATTATATTCGGAAGAGCATAAACTTTCCCATCTCAAAAAATCACATTTTTGCCTGATAATGCAGCGGTAGCGCCCGCGGAAATTACTTTGTTTTAACATACTGGTAATTGCCAGGCATTTTCAAATTACCCATAGGCCACCGCGAAAAGGCACATGCTATCATACAGTTGCGGGGCCTGCTTTCTGTTAATGAGAGTTCAACCATCGCCAACAACGGCATCTGCCGTGTGCTCTACGGCGGGATGGGCGCGGGGACGATGACTTGCGTCTGAATTTGCTCATAGTGATGATGGGCTCGCACTGCCTCTACCGCAGTCTTCCGCTCCCCCCCCCCTCCCCAATTTAAATAAAGCACGTGCAAAAATATCCTTCCGTGCGCTCACTTTAGTAGCACATCACGTCTTCTTAACATTTTTCAATCCGAGATATGGTGCTTTTCGGCCTAAAACCCAGTAATTATGGGCCCATTTAGATCTTAAAATGTCCCTTCAAATGGGATCTCATTTGCAAGTTCACTAACGCTCCTTAGGAAGCATACAACGTAGTCCAAGTCCACTGCACAATTTTGTTACGCATTTATTTCATTCCCCTAATAGCGCAGAGGATTGTTCGTAGGGGATCCTGACACTGGTTCTTCAGTCTCACGCCAACGCACACGTAGATGACTAAGCTGGTCGATGTACGCTTAGAATGAGCAGTCGTAATGTGGACAAGTTGACGCATTAGTAAGCGAACATGTGCGGTCTTGCGTGCATGGATATCGCACGACCTTAAAAATCTCCCAATTAGAAACTTTTTGAAAACCAAAATATACACTTTTTTCAGGCATAAAATATGAAGACAATGTGATTTCCTTCCAAATGAGCAAAAGAAAGCTTATTTCTCTCTATGTTCTCTATAAATATATTTGAATTTATAATGCCATCGAAAATCAATAGGAAAAATGCATGCTACTTATGTAGTTATTTTTTACCGAGTGTGGTGTCCGCAGGAGGGCAAAAAGAAGTGCATTCAATGGCCAACATCCTGGCGAGTTCGAAATGTTATAGGGTTATGCTGCATGATAATCAGTATAACAACCCCACTTAAGTAACCCTTCCTAATCGGAAACGCATTCCGGAATTTTGGCCAACATTTCATGAGATCGGTCACGCACTGTAGTATACATATGCCGGACAAGTGGGAACCGAGACAGGAGCGTGGTGTTACAATGAGGACAGGTAGAGCGGGGCGATATCTTCGGCAGGGCAGTCTTGCGAAATAGAGTGATAGCGCCAATGCAGCGGTAAGCCCGAAGGTGTCCTGCATGACCACTCCGTGTCCCGAATGCCACCTGGCAATGCGGAGGAGCTGGTGATGTTGGTTCGTGGCGAGTGACCTCGCGTGTCTCTTAACATTTGTTATTCGGTTGGTTCCGAAGATGGCCGCTCCAGTTCTGATAACAGTGCGCCAAATTTGTCTGTCACGTGTGAGGTACACGAGAAAAGCCGTTACATCGTCGTATTTGTCCGTCCTACCTGCACAAACCTGTAACGAGGCCACCGTCGCTTAAGCATGAGTTATCATCATGGCGTAGCAGAAACCGAAGCCGATCAGTAAAACACAGATGATGTCCAGAAAATCCATGTTCGTGATCCCTTTCTCCAACTTCATAGTCTGTATTATTTGAAGGTCATTGGGGTGAAAGTGATCCCGTTTTCTCGCTTGGATTTTTGCACATTGTTCACGTGTCCACTCATTACGACGTCGAAGTCAGGATCACAGTCCTGCGCCTGCCCAGGTCGTTGCTGAGGTCGTCGTGGCGACCCCAAACTAAGTACTACAGTCCGCCAGCGGGTCGTCTAGTTTTGGGGCAATTTCGTCCTCCATCTTGATGCTTCTTCAGGTGGTGTCTCCTAAACACACGAATCGGATGACAAGGCTGCAGGGGAACAATATTTTCGAGGGATAATCAGGACGCACGCTGGCCGTGCAGTTCCATTGGTACCCTCGAAAGCGAGATGAGTACGCTCCCCGAATTACAGCGAATGTTCTTACAAGCCAAAAAACACCGGAGGTCATCAGTCACAGCATTGCACTCAGGGTCGGTACTGCACGCAGAACAGCCAGATCCACTTAACGCCAAGTCGTGAGATTGAAAAACGACTGCAACGACAAGGCATGTCAAGAGTAGTGTCCTGGACCTTGTGCAATTGTGGAAAAAGCAGATAAGTTGGATAAACGGCAAGATGATTTTAGACGGAGGTAACGGAGTATGTATTGGAAGTGAGGCGGAATGGCGTCAACTCCCTCAATTTCGAAAAGGCATCAATCCTCGCAGGAGGCGACAACTGCTTGGTCATGGTCTGTCGACCAGTACTCGATTAATAAACGCAAGGATCCCAGCCTGGACAGAGCGATTACTCACATTGAGGGCGCGGAATGAACACTGACACTAGGATGGTACCAACGAGCCAAATTGAGGATTATTACGCTGGCTACCAACGCCGAGGATATAGGTGCGGCCGTTACCGAATCAGGCACAACAGCCCAAGTAATTGCTCTGCCAATTACGTCACCGTGATGGCTTGACGATAGGTAGCCAATAAAAGCGTGCCAGGACACAAACCGCATCCCGTAAATATGGCTACGACTGTTACCTCTCTACTTCTGTTAATGTGCGCATGAAATCAGAACTAACCACTGAGTACACTCTGACCCGAATATCTCATAACCAAGCCTACAACTCGAGACTGCGTTCCAAATAAAGCCGTCGCACTGTGACGGACTGAACTCAACAAGAATACCTCCAGGAGGTGGCGTTCGTGGTGAAATGTCGACGCAGTTCGATTCCTCGAAGCACACCTAGCTAGCTTTGACGAACCCGCGCGGTCTACTCGAATAAGTGCGCACAAGCAGCTGTTCGGAACCCTCGAGGCGTCCCAAGGTTGGCCGGAAGACAGAAGATCAGGTCGAGTCCCAAGCTACGCAATCAATGGTCAGAATAACGGTTTATGCTTTCTATATGCGTATTATCAGGAGACACGAAGATGGTATGATCAAAATAGAAATAGAAACACACGGACGCATTCACTCAAAGCTCGCCCAAAAAAATAGACACGAAGTAACTTGGGAGAGGTGATAATAAAAACGAAAGCCAAGACGAAAAAAATATATATCTGCAGGTTAGTTTTCTTAATCGTTCATGCTCGAAAAGCAGAGGACAAGGGGAGAAACGAACGGCAGAAGAAAATACAGGAAAGAAGGCGCACATATGGGGACAAGGTAATGCGAAAAAAATGAAATAAAACCGATCCTTGTCAAGCGGTGGGGGGGGCAGACTTCGACAAAATGCAGAAACTGCCAAGTAACATAATTCGCACTTGAGCATAATACCGCCTGCCCCAAACTCGGTGCTAGCGTGTTGACGAGAGTAAACCCCTAAGGCGTTGGACGAACCGACACCGTATAAACGGAGAACACATATGAAAAGAGGGGTTACTGGTGCTGTGATGAGCAATATTCATATGCAATGGTTAGGACTTCAGCAGGCGAAACCGCAACGAAAGTCACCGATAAAGTGGATGGTAGGCTAAGCTAGCCAACAGGGACAAGTGACAAGGATCACAGGCGGCGAGGATTCTGGCGAGGGGGGAGAGGGGGAAGTCCGTCAAATGGCATCCGGGGAGTTTCACCTAGGAGTTGATGAGAGTTCCGTTTCGGAACATGACGCGGCAGTGGCATCGCAGGCTTGGTAGAAGAGAATGTAGGCCGAGTCGGAAGTTTTCGAGGCCTCAGAGGTTGTACCGAAGAAATCACGAATGGTGGAAGGATCAATTTTCTGCAGTGGGAAGAGATGCAGTGGTTGAACCGACCAAACTTAAGGGAATACAAACCACGCTACCGAAGTCAAAATAGTAGTCATATGCGCGCTGAACTCACATCGACAAATTCGTCATCGAAAAGGAGCCAGATGCCGTTGGACTTAACGAGGCTGATGTAGTGCCCGCGATTCAGGCCTGAACCGGAGTGGACAACGACAGCCATCAGTTCATAAAGACGATCCGGGTTGCTGGCGTCGTCGGACTACAAAGAAAATTTCCATTGTAACGAATTAGCGATAACAAGACCAAATAATAGTGTTGGTAAGTTTGTAGTTAAGAGCGCTCTCTCGTGATCAGTTGCTGAGGCAGGCAGCACATACGCGTCAAACGACCCTGAAAATACAGCAAAGGTGATCAATCAAACTTGGGGTCAGACGTCAGTCGCACATGAAAGTTCAGGGAGTGTAATCGCCGCCTCTAATCTCATTGTTCCCCCGCCAGCTTGCTGCTGGCGACAACGAACGCTGTGTCATAGGATCGAGTGAGATCCTAACCACAACAGTGAGGGTCAAACGCCCGCTTGACATGCTTTCATGTCTCACTTCATAAGGCCTATGACGTACTGATGACCGGTAACGACCGCGAAACGGTTGTCTGCGTCTGGCCTGTTGCATTCTTCGCGAGTTTCCTAAATATTAGTATTGTTTAGGAACGTGAAAGAAACGGCAAGTGTCAAATTAGTTCTTGGTCTCATCGTGCAAAAATGCAAAGTACACAGGGATCCGTCAACGGAGTGCAGTAATAAAGCATTTCTTAAAGAGGTAACTTATTAAGGAGAGTTTTCGCATTGATGGAAGGCATATTCGTTTCTGACTTTCGTGGAGAACAGTCATTTTTCCCGAAAATGAACTATACTGCTTAAATGAGTCTTCACATGTGACCCAAACGACCTTCAAGAGTTATATTATTTTAAAGTTCTTAACAAACAGGTAATTGGGAATCTGTCTTTATGGAAGATCGGGTGACAACACTGAAAATCATGAAGTATTCAGCGATATTTCGAGGTCGGTCTGAGACTTAACGTAACCCAAAATGTGCGAAAAGTGTAAATTAATTTAACAGAAAACAGTTCCCTCTATAAACACAAAATGGTGTGTTTACGATCATGTCTGTCAGTTCTATGTAAACTTATTAGGCACCGATCGACCTGACAGCATGTCACCTTATGAAAACGTTTGTCCTACGTCTCCTTCGGTGAAATTAAGCAAAATCTAGTTTCTCTTGTTGAACTCCATCTCATTTAACTCAAACGAGTCAAGAATACCAGGAATCCCTGGAAAACTGTTTTGCATTCCACACTCAGAATGTAGGCAGTTGACTAACCGTCATATATGAAATCACACCACTTATTAAACGATACTTAGATGTAAACTTGACTGAAACACTATTCTTAAACGTCATTTTATTTATGCTTTCATATTGACTACATTTTTGGTATGAGAATACATCCTAACATCGAAAAACGAGGATATTGCGATTTTCTAAAAAAAATTGCATTTCTGAAAAACGCAACACTGCCTTTGATACTTCTTTTATGCTTTTAATTTTTTTAAACTTCTACTTAATTAACATAGACATTGGATTCATGAAATGGTGTCAGTTTGCGAGTGATTGGCTGTTATTCGTAAATTCCGACACCTTTCATGAGCTAGGTAACGCACTGTAGTAGTAGCAGTAGTAGTAGTGATGGCAGTAGCAATAGTGATTTCAGTAGTAGTGGTAGTAGTTGTAGTAGTAGTGGTAGTATTAGTAGTAGTAGTATTAGCATTGGTAGTAGTAGTAGTAGTAGCAGAAGCAGTCGTAGTGGTAGTAGTGGCATTGGTAGTAGTAGTGGTAGTAGTAGTAGTAGTAGTAGTAGTAGTAGTAGTAGTAGAAGTAGTAGTAGCAGAAGCAGTTGTAGTGGTAGTAGTAGCATTGGTAGTAGTAGTAGTAGTAGCAGAAGCAGTTGTAGTGGTAGTAGTAGCATTGGTAGTAGTAGTAGTAGTAGTAGTTGTAGTAGTAGTAGTAGTAGTAGTAGAAGTAGTAGTAGTAGTAGTAGTGGTAGTAGTAGTAGTAGTAGTAGTAGTAGTAGTAGTAGTAGTAGTAGTAGCAGCAGCAGCAGTAGTAGTAGCAGAAGCAGTCGTAGTGGTAGTAGTAGCACTGGTAGTAGTAGTAGTAGTAGTAGTAGTAGTAGTAGTAGTAGTAGTAGCAGTAGTAGTAGTAGTAGTAGTAGTAGTAGTAGTAGTAGTAGTAGTAGTAGTAGGCCACGTATCCGGAAGCCCCGAGCTTGACAGCCGGCCCTTCAGCACAGCAACTACTCAGTGGTAAGCCAAGGCGGTCTGTCTTCGCTCTAGGTCAACAGCCACTTGCCCTCCATCGAATGCGGAAGAAGCCTATAGCGCTTTCTTGTGTCGCCGACAGGGTTGCTCCAATGTTTGAGCCATGTTAAGCTAGGTTCCAATCTGCTGACGACGTCGTTTGAAGTTCGCGTCGGCGTCAGTCGAGTGCGTTGAGTATTGTCCGTTAGAGAAGTTGATTGTCATAAGTCGACTTTGGTTAACTGCTGCCAACAATATTGTCCGTTAGTTGGGTAGTGATGGCAAACAACAAGTCTTCGGGTGTTGAGCCCACTGTAGCCGAGGCAATTCATTGAAACTCATCTCCAATAATGCAAAGAAGCTGAACGTCATGATTTTCTATGAAAACCAGGCGATTCGCCATACTATAATGACGGGTTCTACCCTAGCCCAGCTGCTAACTACTTGGCGCGACTACGGATGATGAAAATGGACGACTTTCAGCAAAAGTTGGCCTTGAAATAAGAAGGCTTGCTGATCTAACGCATACGCAGTCGCCGAAAAAGATGCTGAGGTCTGGCACGCCGATTGCTTTATAAAATGCTGCAAAGCCCAATGATGACACTGTAACATGGTGACCATGACCCGATACCGAATTAATTTGCTTGCCGCCACTACCTTGTGATGATATTTTTGAGTCAAAGCGCTGGGGGAGAAAACCTCGAACAAACAATACATGAGGCCGTTAGAGACTCGCCTACTATAAATCCCTGAGAGGTCTCATGACCATTGTTCATGGCGGCGGTGGCCGACCACGGCCAACGTCAAGCTTTTGACGTGGAGTGGTTTTCATGAACGCCTTGAGACGCAGGTTCCGTCGCGCTGCTACATTTGGCCCGAACAGTGATAATAGTTACTCTTGATTCCGCGGACTAACCGACAGTCGACGATTCTATTTGCGTGCAAATATGCAGTAAGTCTATGCGGCGATTATCGCGTACTTTAAATATCACGTTATCAGGTGTCTTTTTGGGGTACTCAAAGCTGGTGTTAGCCACAATCAGTATTCAGCGAAACCTAGAAGTCGGTCGCCAATGAGTCAGCCACAGCGCAGCGGGTTCTAACTCCCTACAATGATTGCGAGATGACTGATAAGGGGGGAAGATCGAAGGTGGTCGTAAAAGTAGTCTGTTTCACTGACATCTGCATTGCGTGGAGCTGACATAAAACGCAACTTCATGGCAGTTGGAAACTGTAATCTAAAAAAGTGGTGCTTTCGGGCCATGCGCACTTCATTTAACGCAAAGCTACGACTGTCGGAGCTGTCATATTCACACGCATCCCACCAGTATAGTGGCGATGATATAGCAATGCCAACAACGACGAGAGAAAGGAATGACCATTCCTGGTTTATTCTCCGCCATCACCCACTCATATCCAATTCCAGGTTTTGAAACCCCTGAACCACGAGCCCGCACTCTGTTGGTTAGAAGCCCAACGCTCTAACCACTAAACCACAGGTCTGTTGCCCTGTCAGTTGTGATCGAGTATACTAACAATGGATGAGCCTATGACTTACTGATCAAGGTGTCAGACTTCTAACCAACAAACCGTGGCTTCGGGCGTTGCAAAACCCAGAGTCGAGTATAGTTGACTGAAGATGAACAATAACCCAGAAGTGATCAGTTCAGTCTCCTTCGTCTTTGTCGATAATGTCAATTCGACTATACTACTAACCGCTGCGAGGCTGGAGGCGGGGCTCTAGACTGAGTCTCGACGTGTACTTGATACGACTGCGATCATGCCTGATCTAGCCGGCCACGATGATGTCCCGAACTGTACCTCTTCACGCGTGACGATCCGCGGCAGCAGATCTGGACGGTCCAATCCATTCTCATCGCCAACGACGTAGACCAAATACCGAAGGTCCATGAACGACCTCCATGTCTTGACGAAGTGTGTCGCGCCAGGTTTTTAACTGACCCCCTCTTCGACGCCTCCAATGGGGCAACGGTGCCGGATCGAGGGCAGTAACATTGAGTTTCTGAGGTGGGCGACGAAGAGCATGCCCAAACCACTTCAGTTGTCCTTCTTGGATGGCCTGAGTTATCCTTGCGATGTTGTCGCAGCGAGCGCGGACTGTGTCATTTGAGACGAAGTCGGTTAACTTCACTCGAAAGATGGTCCTCAAGCAGTGGTGGTCAAATACCTCCAGTTTTCGCTCGTTCTCCAAGCGCAAAGACCAGCATTAACAACCGTAGAGAAGGACAGACCGGACAGATGTACGGTACTCGCGAATGTTGGTGGCGATGAGGAGGTCACGTCGGTACCATAGGCATTTCTGAATGCTTGATAAAACCCAGCGGGCAGCATCGATTCGGGAGACAATGTCGTCCTTACTCTGTCCTTTAGGCAGCAGCCTCGCCCCGAGGTATTTAAAATTGTCTACTTCTTCAAGTTGACAGGTATCAATCCCGAGGGGGGTTTTCTCCTGGCCAGGAATGCAGCTCGTGACACAACCGGAGGAGTATGTCCCGTAACGCGATCGATGAGCGCCCCTCTACCACCATCGTAGTATGACATCCTACACATTGGCATTTTGGCTCACTTCGTACCGGACTTAGGCAGCCTAAAAGACGTACACTATCAGCAACATAATTAGATAAGACTCTATGCGTTTGTGCCTTTGGCAATGCGCACATTCTAGCAGGAGAGCGTAGGTTTCCATGCTTTGTTAGGGAATTTCTGTTTGCATATTTGAAATCCAACCCACTAGCTGGTGTCCGGACAAATTGATCCGAGGTCCCACCCTGTAGGGTGACCGCATCAGAAGGAGAAGTCTTATTGGAGGACGGTAAATATTTTCGTCAGATGGTGACTCCGTAAT